ATTATGAAGTAGGGGTTGCTTATGGTTCAGGTTAATTGAGTCTGTCTTGTTTTGATAAAGAGTGATGATTGTTAGGTTAAAAGGAGGTAGAAAATTTAATTAGTGTTATGGATAAAGGAAAATCTAGGTTTTTTTTGCAATTGCGGACTCTTGAGGGGGAGGGTTTGATGAGGAATGAGATTTATTTTTTTTTTGTGGCTGAACATGCTTTTTTCTTTTTTGGTGTTTTCTTTTATGATTTTTTGTTTGTGTTGAGAAATAGAAAGATAATAAATGCTTATCCTTTTTTTTGGTATATGCCCTATGTTTTCTTTTAAAAAGAGTTAAAACACTGATTATAAAAATAGATTAGAGAATTGATGGTATATTTGGACTATAATTCTATAGTCAAATTTCTAGGACTTGAATTAAAAGATTGAAATTTGATTTTGATTGTTAGGATTGTAACTAAAAGATATGAAATTAATTCCTTAATTTGAATGAATTCTGGACTAATTTGAATTAATTAGCAAAAATTAGTAGATTAAATTGGGCTTAACTGAATCAATTTAAAACAATTGGATTAAATTGGTATTTAATTGAATTGAAATGATGGAAAGAAACAATTAGGATTGAAACAAAATTATATAAATAGTCAAGTGGTCCTCAGAATATTTTCCTCTTTTCATTACACTCCTTAACTTTTGAATTTTTTTTATTTAATTCAATTACAGCTTTAAACCTTGAATTCTTTTTCAATTTAATCATTTGAATTAATCTTTTCAATTTAGTCTCTTTTCATTTTAGTCTTTGTTTTCCAAACTCTTGTAATTTCAATCAAATCTGTTCTAAATCCTTTATTTCTTTTTAATTATATCTCTAATTGAATCGATTTAGACTCCCAGATTAGTCTACTTATTGCAAATTCATCCTTGGTTTCTAAAAGTATGCAATTTTAACCAATCTAACTCTTAATTTTAATTTTCTTTTTCAATTCAGCACTTCATTGATTTCTAACTTGGCTGTTTATTTCAAAATCATCCTTGACCTTTAATTTTTTTTCACTCTTGGCCAAATTAAATCAAATTGAACTCTTTTTTAAATTTTCTCTTTAATTGAAATTAGATTATGATATAAAAGTTCTCAAACTCAAAATTTGCTCATGATGTTTAATTATTAGCCCAAATTCAACCCCAACTATATTTTTTTGTTTTTATATTTTTTTATGAAATTTCAAAACTCTTTGACACATGAAAATTAAATAAAAATGGTTAAAATTAACTAAAATTAATAAAAATACATGTTTATTTAGATATTTTTTAATTTTTGAAACATGTATAATAATAGGAATCAAAAATTGGATTGCATGCCCTTTCAATCAAGCCAATTGGGAATGGAGGGATTAACAAAAACTTAAAATTTACTAGAGTTTTATTATGAATTGTAAGGTGATTAATTGTGGATTGCAATATTGTTTTATTTTTTTGTTTTCATCCTTTTTAATGGTTATCAATTTTTTTATATTTAATTTTATTGTAATTATTGTTATTTAGCATTGATGATTTATTCCAGTTTGCCTTTTGTGTTATTGTTTTAGTATTGAAAAAACATTCTAACATTAGGTCAGTGCTCGATTTTACAAAAAACAATTGTTTTTTGTCAGAAATTAAAAATAAGAGGGCTAAAATTAAAGCAAATAAAAAATTACAAACATTTTGTTTTCAAATAAAATATGGTGTCAGATGTAGTCTTTTTTCTATCTCTGATCATCGAGTTCTTTTCTTTTCAACTCGATCTTTTGATATTATATTGGTTTACATTTGAAGTTGATAATGTATTTTAATTTATTTTTTATATGATTATCTCAATTAAAAAAAAGAGTATCATCATTGGATTAATGATTGATTTCACTAGAAATAATTCAAATTTTATTGTTTGAGAAAAATGAAAAAAAAAGGATTGTAATTTAAACATATAAAAAATAAAAGGGCTTTTTAAAAAATAATTTTTTTTTATGACAATGCCTTTTGGGTTATTTTTGCCTTGGGATTTTAACAAAAAATAATTTTGGTCTCTTTAGTTTGTCAATTAAATGTCTAGTCGAAAAACTTTATTTTTCTTTTATTGTAGTCTTTGAGTTTGGGAGAAGAAAGAGATAGTCGTTGAAAAACAGCGAATGAAAGAGAAAGTTAGTGAAATGTCATTTTTCGGTTATAAAACTTGTCATTTTTTTTATCAAAAGTTTCCATTTAACGAAAAGAGTTCTATTTAAGTCTTTATTTCTCTTTATCTTGCTGAAAAGAATAAATTAGAACTCAAGAATATTTTTTTTTCAAGTCAGTTTTTCATTTTTAAATCGATTAAATCCTAATTTAAGAAAAGAAATGGAATTATTGAGGCCTTTATGGTGTTTTTTAGGTGTTTCAACTGAAAAATGATAGATTTTTTTTTTGAAAAAAAATTTATACATGCGACTACTAAACTTTCCAGTCATTTATAGTGGTTAGAATCTAAAAAGTAAATGACACGTTGTCTAGTGTTTCTTTTTAAAAAAAAGTGAATAACATGTCAAATTCCCCTTTTTTTTTAAAAAGTGAATAACATGTCAAATTCCCCTTGACAAGATAGAAAAATAAGATGGATAACCCATGCACTTGGGCATGTTTTAAAGGTCTAGGCTTGTATATCTGGCTTGTTTTGTATCATTTGATTTTTTTTCATTTATTTTTAACATTGGACATTTAAAAAAAAAAAATACTAACTATTTTTTTCGATTTCATTCTTCAATGTTTTGTTAACTTTGAATTGGATTACATAATTTATTTTGATTTGTTTTTATATGTTTATCATTGTCTCAAATAAATATTATGATATTTGATCGATGCATATTTTTACGAGAGTATAATTTTTCATAGTATAATTAACAAAACAAAATTTCAAAAAAAAAAATTATTAGCTCAATGAATGTATTTAATAGGTTTTAACTTGGGTTGATTAAGAATAGAGTTTTATAATATTTTAGTTTTCTTTCTTTAAGTGACACGACTAAAAAATTGATGTCTTCTCCCAAGTGCAGGAGTGTCGAAGTAATAAATAACCCGGCAAGACCGGGGTCGAACCACAGGGAGGTTAATTGTAAAAATTATAAACAACAATTATAAAACAACAATAACAACAACAACAATAGTAATAATAATAATAATAATAATAATAA